GGGGGGCGGGGGCTCCCCCAGTGCTGGATGGGGTTGGTGGGACTGGGGGGCGGGGGGGCAGTGGGAACTGGGGGGCAGTGGGGTGGGGGCTTGCCCAGTGCCGGGCGGGGTTGGCGAGGGGGGCAGCAATGGGGGGGGCGGGGGTCTCACCTCCTGGCGGTAGCGCCCCACGTACTGGTAGAGCTCGCCCAGCGCCCCCAGTGTGTTGAACTCCCCGGCGTGGAGCCGCGACTGCTCCCCGAGGTAGGCGTCCATGTCCTGGTCGCTGATGGGCGCCATCCTGGCGATGTCCCGGTAGTACCTGGGGGGCAGAGGGTGAGGGGGGGCAGGGTCACCTCTCCCCATTGCTCTTTCCCCCCACGGCCCCGTTACCCCTTCTACCCCCTCCCCCCGCATCCCAGCGCCCCTCCCCCCACTGTCCCCCCACGGCCCCGTTACCCCTTCTACCCCCCAACCCCTGTATCCTGATGCCCCTCCCCCACCTCTCCCCCCATCAGGGAGCCCCCTGCGTCGCCCACTCCCCCCAACCCCCCTGCTCATCACAGCCCCTCCCCTGCCCCCCACTCCGCCCTGCAGTGTGCCCCCAGCTCTCGCTGCCCCCCGCCTGGCTCCCCCCACTCACCGCTCCACCCAGCCGCGGTAGCCGGGCAGGTCCTTGGCATAGAGCAGTTTGGTGGAGGGCGAGTCCTTGCCCAGGCGCTGGGGCGACGTGGAACACGAGTCCATGAACGTCTGGGCCACCACGGAGAGACACGCGTCCGTGATGCTGCTCTTGTGCACGTCGAACACGAACTGCGGGTTCTTGATCACGTTCACCCAGAACCGCAGGGGCAGGCTGGGGGGGCAGGGGGTCAGAGAGTCCCAGAGACCCCCCCAGACCCCCAACACCCCCACAGCCCCCCAACACCCTGATCGCATTCACCCAGAACTGCAGGGGAAGGCTGGGGGGGCGGGGGGTTAGAGAGTGCCAGAGACCCTCCCCCGAGACCCCCAGCTCCCCCATCACCCTCCCCAACACCCCCACAGCCCCCCAACACCCTGATCGCATTCACCCAGAACTGCAGGGGAAGGCTGGGGGGGCAGGGGGTTAGACAGTGCCAGAGACCCTCCCCCGAGACCCCCAGCTCCCCCATCACCCTCCCCAACACCCCCACAGCCCCCCAACACCCTGATCGCATTCACCCAGAACTGCAGGGGAAGGCTGGGGGGGC